GAGGAGCGGCGCGGGAAGAGCAGCGGGCAGCGGGAGCCGGGGCAGGGCCAGCCCCGCACCCGAGGTGAGCCAGTGGGGCCGGCCGGGAGCGCCGGCTCGGGGCAGGAACGTGCCCGGCTCGGTGCGGGCATCGCTGTCGTGTGGGCAGCACCGACATGTGGGCAACGCCAAAGTGTGGCCATCGCCGACGTGCGGGCAACATCAACGCGCAAGCAACGTCAAAGCGTGGCCATTGTCAAAATGCGGGCAGCACCAACATGTGGGCAGCACGGTTGCCGGAGGCTCAAGTGAGGCAGAGTGCATTAGACCCTGGGCTTGCTGCGGTCCTCAGCGCAGCCCTCCTCCCTCCTCTGGGCTTAAACCAGCAGCCTGATGTGAAACTCCCCAAAAGTTCCTGCTGGTTTTAATTTTGGTTTTGGTGGACTTTGGGGCGAGCTGCGGGTAAAGCGAGATGGTGAGCGTGCTGTTCCCCTGTCTGGCTCGGGTTTGTGCTTCCCCTCACATCTCTCCTCGCGTGGGTGCTTGTCTGTTTATAGCAGTGACAAGGAGAATTAAGGGCTTTACTGTAATGTGTCCGTGGTTGTCCCCTGGCACAAAGTCTGTAGGTCACCTTCCTCAGGAGGTGGGTGGTCTCATGGAGTTGCTGGGCCTCTGAGAGCCGAGCAGCTTTGCAAGGAGTGAGAGCTGTGGTCGTGGAGCAGCCCTGTGCTCAGGTGGGCTCCATGCTGTGGGTCTGCCCTCTCAGAAAGGCTTGGTTCACAATTTCAACCACATTTTGGACCCAAAAAAATAGCAAAACCTGATCCAACTTTTTTGTTTGGATAATTCCACAGCACTATTTGTGATGATAAATAATTCAGCAATAATTAAATGGGAAAGTCGCATCAGGGAGATGTGCTTTGCTGTCCCCGAGTGCTGTCCAAGTGGCCAGGCCAGGGCTTTGACTGCAGAGCTCTCTGCCAGGTCCCTGTGGACTCTGCCCCTTCTGCAGCACTTGGGGATCCCATGCAGGGTCTGCCAGGGCCCCCCACCCCCAGGCGGCATGCTGACCTCAGCAAGGGGGCAACTCTGTCACTGGCATCTTGATTTGTGGCTAGGGGGTAGGAGACGTTATAAGGAAACCAGGATTCTGGACTTATCTATAGGTAATGATTCTTTATCTAGATTTGTGAAGCGCTTTGAGATCGACGGACACAAAGGTCTGTGTGAGGAGCTGGCGTTTGTTATTGCAACACTTGGGCGTGATGACTACCTTGGGAGAGTTGTCTGGGCTGGGTCCCACCTGCTCCCTCCCAGACCCTTCTTCTGCTGGGTAGAGAGAAAACTTTAACTCTGGCGGAGGTTCTCTGCTTTTCATTTTGCCTCCAGACTAATCGCTGGAGCTTCATCTAGGGGGAATATTGTTAAACAGGCTGGTTCTTCTATCGTCAAGAGTGTAAATCTGGAAAAACCCGAACAAAAAAATCCTGCTTGGTAAATAAATAACAAATTGAAAGCTCTGCCCTGGAAAGGAGCAAGCAGATGACTACAGCAACTTTCTGGCTGCTGAGGATCTTTCCATTATAGGCTGATGTTACACCGATGTCTGGAGCCTGCGGGCAAGGTTCGTGCCTCAGCACTTGCTGCCAGCTTCCTGCAGTGCAGGGCCATATTCTGGCAACAGGCCTGATTTCAGGTTGATTCAGAAGCTTAGCAAACATTATAGCTCAGAGTTATTCTGTCTCTTTTAGCTCCAGATCCTGCACAGCTGCCCAGTGCTCCCTTCCACTGCAGAGGGTCTCCCGGGGTGTGGTTGAACGGGTAGATGTTCTCCTCAACTGGCTGTGAGGGAGCTGGGCGCTGCTGTGGCAGGACATGGCTCTTCATGTGGAGAAATGTGCTGGGTGTTGAGAGCTGCCCATGGGTCTACCAAGCCGCATCTCAGTTAAGATTAGATCATTTGGGCTCGAGGCTGGTCTGAGCCTCCAGCTGCATGCTGGAGCTTCTGTAAGAACCCAACCAAGGGCAGGGAGGTGGTGTATCAGTGCTCACCAGCTGCAAAGAGTCTGAGGAAACTCTCCCTGTCTGTGTTTTGGGGGAAGGAGGTGCTCGCAGCATGCCACCTGAGCTCTACTTACTGGTCCAGAGGTGCATCTGCATGCGTCAGAGGTGATTTGGGTGTGAATCATGGCAAGATGGCAGAGGTTGGGGCCAGGTGGTCCTTCTGGTGCCTCAGGGGTGCAGTGAATCAGTGGGACAGTGATTCTGTCCCTTCTTCCCTGCTGACCTCCACTAGTGTATGGGCAGAAGTGCTTCTGAAGAAGTTCCTGCTCAGAGTCAGCTTCCAGCTTCTCAGAAGCTCTCATCAGCCTGGTGGTGCTGGAGCAGCCCATGAGCCGCTGCTGGGCACCAGCCATGGTCTATGGGTAGCCAACAGCATCTGTCGGGTGCAAGGGTAGTGGGGCTGATATTGGAGAAGAGACTGGGCACCAGAGTCACCATGAAGCTCCATCCCTGGAGGTGTTCAAGGCCAGGCTGGATGGGGCTTTGAGCAACCTGTTCTAGTGGGAGGTGTCCCTGCCTATGGCAGGGGGGTTGGGACTCGATGATCTTGAATTTCCCTTCCAACCTAAACTATTCTATGGTTTTATGATGGCTTCCCTGCCACTGGTGGCTTGTCATGGCAGCGCCCGAGCATCTCAGTATTGGGCGTCTTTACCCTTGTGGTTCCCCTGAGGGCTGAGACCTGGGGAAGTTAAGACACAAAGCAGAAAGTGGCTTGCCCAGGAGGTCGGTGGTGGCCCTGGGCACTGCCTCCTCCCCAGCGCAACACTGGCCTTTGCTGCTGGGGTGGCCTGGCTCTGCCTGGAGAGCTGGTGGTTGTAGGTAGCTGTTATTGTCTGGGCCGTTGCCAGGGACAGGTGTGTAAATGTGTAAAAACACCCATGAGGTGTCTGCTGGGTCCTGGACATTTGCTCTGGCTGGTGAATGCTGGGCTCAGGCCCTGCAGGGGCAGAGAAGCTCTGGGAGGGAGGAGGACAGCCCATATCTCATGACAGGATCTCTTCCACCTCTGGTGAGCGGGTCCTGCTCATTGCCAAAAAAGAGCTGATCCCAGCTCATTAGCGGGGGTCCTGTTTTAGCCACTATGTCTTCAGCTCAGGTGCACAGAGCTCAGTTGTTTGACCAGGGAGCACCTTCTTATCACAGGTTCAGCTCAGCACAACCTGGCATTTCCAAGTAACAGCAGCAAAAACCTTTTTAACATGTTCTTTCTACCCTGCAGCTCTTCCCAGATGTTCTCCTGGCTTTGCTGTCGGATTCTTGCCTTTTGAAGCTGCCCTTGGTTTTGGGGCTATTTCTCAGCTTCCCAAGCAGGATGTGCTACAGGTCTGCTAGGAGAATATGTACGTGGTTGCACCGGTCTTACTGGGTTCCTCCCAGGTAGATATGGGTGCGTGAAACCAAAGACAGTTGGCAAAACAGATGAATGGGCGATGTCAAAGACTTTGTATTTATTGACATGCTGGAGACCTGTCTATGCTGGAGCACTTGCTGGTAGGAGAAGTGGGATGCCATGATAGACCAGCAGGAGTGGCACAAAGTGAGCAGTCAGCGATGTGCTAGCCCAGGCAATGCCTCGTGCCTTGTCCCAGCACTCGCAGCCCTTCATGCCCACGCAGCAGGGGAACATGCTAAACCTGTGCCCAGCAGCTCTGGCGCCTGGGAGCCGGCATGTGCCCAACTGTGGGAGAAGGATGTGGTGACGGGTGCGGGTGCCTGGCAGATACGTCGGGAGTGGCCCCAAGGAGATGTTTTCCCCAGCTGCCTCACCGCCTGCCTTTGCTTGCTCTTGTTTGAAAGCCAGGTTGGGAAAGCAACTCTTGAGGAAAGCCGTGTGCAGAGAGCAGAGTGAGCTGCAAGAGCAAGGGGGTGAGCACGAGGCAGGGTCTGCTGGGGACTTGGCGGGGCGCCATGGCAAGAAAGGAGGTGCAGCAGGCTTGCTGCTCAGGCGCATCTGGGGAGAGTACTGGCTGCACCCTTGGTTGCCCTGGCGCTGTGGTTTGGGGTGGCAAGGCAGTGCTTTGCCAGCTCGGCCAGAAGCGGGGATCTGAGCTGGCTTGGATGGGGCTGCAGGGCTGCATTTCTGCCGAGTTCACCAGGGCAGGTGGCGCAGAGCTTGTACTGACTTTTCTGCAGGTGCCCAGCCAATACCTGCTTTGGCATACAGGCAGCACAGGCACAGGCACCACCTGTCTGATCCAGCCCAAAATCTGCCAGTATGAACTTAATCTGCAAAAATAGGTTACACATGGATTTGCACCAGCGTCATGTATTTGTAGTAGAATCCATCTTTTGCAAGATAGGATGTTGGGATTTTAATAAAATTTTGGAAAGTCTACAGCCTGATTTACCCTATGGTTAAGCCACAGGCACAGGGTCTGGGGGGGACATCTACATGGCCAAGCCCATCACCAAGCAGGAGCTGCCTTCAGGAGGAGTCGGGTTTCTGGCAGAGCCTGTGCCACCGGAGTGGGAGCCAGGGGTCCCATGAGGACAGGACGAGGGTAGGCAATATCACTAATGGTTTAATTGTCTGTGCCAGGACGGAAGCAGCATTGCCTTGAAGCTGCCTGCTTTTTGCAGAAGATGACCACCGAGCTCTGTTGCCAGCCTGGCCCAGCGGAATCAGTTGCTGCTGAAGTCTGCCCTGCCCATACTAAGATGTGAGCAGGCGCTCGGGCCAGCGCTTTGCACAGCTGTTCCCTGCCACATCTGTTTGCAAGACTACCCTGCAGATAGTCCCATAGAAGTGACCATGGGGAGGTTTTTGTTGCAAGCCACTGGTGGCCTCACGCTTTCTTCTGTTACAGGTGGTGATGCTAAGGCTGCTGGGCAGTCCCAGGGAGATGGCAGCCATCCAGGGGCTGGGGACACTCGGAGACATCAGAGGGGTCGTGCAGAACACCGCAGACACACCATCACCAACGGGGTGGACTTCAGCATGGTAAGGGGACAGCCCTGTCATGGGCTCCAGCAAAGGGATCCATGGTCCCTGGGGGAAGGTGGATTGCTGGAGTCTCTCACCACTGACACCAGCTTCATTTGGGCTGTGGCTCCCCCCTGCCTACCCTGCACGTGTGAGCTGTGGGATGTCAGGCAGATACTGATATTTTGGATAGACAGCTCTATTGATGTATGTGGAGGTACATCTGAGACACTTTCTGTCCTGCATCATGCCAGGCAGGGAAGAAGCACACGTTCCCCTGCCTTCCCCTGGAGTGGTGTCAGGCCACAGAGCCAGTGTTTGACTGCATGGGTGCCTTCCTCGTGTGCGAAAGCTTGGGCAGGGAAAGGCAAGCGTGTAGGTGTAGGAGCAGGTGGGTCTCTGGGCCTTTCAAGCACTCCAGTGAAGGACTGCTCTCTGTGCTGGCAAGCAGTGGTGCTGGCCTATGTCCCCTGCCAGATGTTCTCTGTAGGTCACGGCTTAAGCATGCTGATCCTCTTGGCTCCCGAGAGACTTTTTGCCAGTGATGCATAGCAATCAGCATTGAATTTAGCTGGGCAACCCAGGATGGAGGGATCTGCTCCCCTCTTCCTGAGTGGAGAGGCTTGGATCAGATTGCCTGGATAAAGGGATCTGCGCTGCTCCTTGGGAGTGGGATGGAGGAACTGCCTGGGCATGTTGCCCACAAGCTCAAGCTAAATTTTCCTGGGAAGAGAGCCAAGACCCAGCCTGCAGGATGAGTGATCGGCGGGATGAGCTCCGGCGGGTGTCGGAGCTGCTGCCGAGGCTGCGGCTGTCACCTCTGCACTTCCATTTCTCACACCCTAGTGTCACCCAGCTCCCCAAGCACAGTGGGGCTAACCAGCGGCATGGGCAGCATCGATTACAGCCTGTCACTGGCCTTGGGGGACATAACATGCTCTGACACCTGGCCTGGGGAGGGGGATTTGTGCACATATGATTTGCTGCACTTGCAGCCATGCAAGGGGTTGGCATGCTCTTGGGCTGAGGGGGTCACTGCTGCGAGGTGCTGACAAGGAGTAATAAATGTCTGGGGATGGGAGTCTCTGGTTCTCAGGGTTTTGGTGGTTGGGGGTTGCTACTTCAGAGAGGGGAAGGTCACTCCTTCCCTAGCAAGGCTTTTCCCTGTGAGTGTAGCTCCAGGCTGGAGCCTGTCACTCCCAGGAGCTCCAGGTCCTGCCTGGTACTGGTGAGGAGGCGCTGGCAGCCAGCACATCTCACTGAGAGCTGGGGTCCGTTCCCAGCTGTGCCACAGGCACTCTTGCCCTGGGCTTGTGTTGCCTTTGCCTGTGTTACCCCAAGTTGTTGTGGGGGCAGGGTGAGGGAGGTCCTCTGCCTTTCTTCCCCCCTCCTCATGTACCTGACTGCTGCACTGCCTTTTGTGTGCTCTCCCCCTGGAGCAGGAGCCCCTGTCCCTGTCCTGCAGGTGAGAAGCCTTCCCTGGCAGGAGTCTTTGGATACTCATCCCACTTCTGAGTGTACAGAGACAGTTAGAGCAGGTTTGGCTCTGGCAAGGACCAAATCCATCCATCCATCCTGATGCTGGGAGGATGTTGTGATTAGGCTAATTTGCCTAAAACCTGGGGGTGGGGGGCGAGGAGCGGGGATGGGAGCACTGTTATCCATCCTGCATCCCGGGGTGCACTAGGATGGTTTGACCCTGTGCAGCAAAACAGAGTTGTGGGGGCTGTGCTCCAGCTCCAGGACCTTTTGCACCACCACAGCTGGTGTCTGCTCAGCTGGTGTTTTTCAGCCAGTCCATCATCGGCCTGATTTCCCCATGGCCACAGGGGGTAGCTTGGATGAGACCTTCTGCGAGAGGCTGAGCTCTTTCGTTTGTAGGCGGCCCAGGGGACGGCACTGTCCCCTCCCCTTCTACCCCATGTAACACTGGCCAAGTCCAGTGCTCTGTCTTCCTCCTGCCCCAGAAGCTGCCTCTGCCCCCAGAGCATCCCATCCTTAGTGAGATGCCATCTGTCTCTGCACTCATCAGAACTGCTGATGTCCTGCTGCTCTGTGGGATGCCGCCTCTTCCTCTGGTCACTGTGCTGGCCAGCAAGCCTAGTGGGACCAGGTCAGGCCAGGCAGCTGCAGGATGCAGCCCGATCTGGGTGGGGGTCCTTGCCACGTACAGCACCTTCTTCATGCCCCTCAGCAACAGCCTGCATAGCACTAAGGCTCTGCGCTTCTTCCTATGGGTACGTCCCCTTTGTCTGTCCATCCAAGCATGGGGCGGGGGGTGCAGGGGTGTTTATTTTGCCAACAGCATTTCCAGGAGCAGCGGGAGCAAGAGCAGCCCTGGTGTAAAGCGTGGCTGGTGTGGGGCGGTTGGGAGGCTTCGGGGCTGTCAGTGGGGACAAGGAAGCACTGGCAGCCTGAAGAAGGTCTTCATATGGTCTCACTTGTCCCCGGGAACGGGGATCTGTTCAGGGTCACTTCTGAGCTGAATTGACCCCCTCCAGATGCTGTCCAAAGCGGCAGGAGAGGTTTCTGAACATCCAGCAGCTTCTGGGTGATCAAAGTCCTACTGGTGTCTGGAGGAGACTCTCCTGGAGCCCGGTCTGTGCCACGGGCAGTGGAGGCCAAGCTGTGTCATGGCAGAAAAGGCAGAGGCAGCAAGGCAGGCAGCTTGGAGGGGCCACGGGGGTAAAGCAGAGCGGGGAGAAGAGTGCTGGGGAAGCAGGGCTACATGTTTTCCCCCAGCTTTGAGTCTGCCCATTTAGCTCGGCTGCTTTGCCGCTCGCTGAAAGCCGTGTGTCTTTGTGCTGCTGGCTGATGCTCACGGTCCAGGGGGGATTTCGGGAGCAGCTGCAGGCCCCACTCTTGCTGCGCCCCTGGATAAATACAAGATGGAGAAACATGTTTCTGCACTGGGGAGAGGGAGGGTGGAGGTGGCCTGACTGTCCTTTGCCTGCTTTGGTTGTTCTCCCAAATCAGAGAACTCTTCCCCCAAAACAGCATCAGGCAGAAGCCATCATCCTGTTCCTCTGCAGCTTTGTGTGGGGAGAGGGGCTGAGACCCCTGCCCATATCCATATCCCTCTGCACCTCATGAAGAAACGAGCTCCTGGGGCTTGACAATGTCTTGGTGGGGAGCGGGTGACATCTCTGCATACTCTGTCCTGCAGCTGAAGCACATGAAGGAGCTGGAACAGGAGAAGGATTTCCTGCTGCAGGGTCTGGAGCTGGTAGAGCATGCCCGGGAGTGGTACCACCAGCACATCCAGTTCATGCAGGAACGCCAGAGGCTCCTAGGGAAGAACAAAACCAGTGTTGTGAGTCTGGGGCTTGGTATTGGGGTGTCCATCTGTTTGGGGGGGTCTGGGGCTGCTCTGTGGGCTTGGAGAACTGGGCTGGGACTTGGTTGGAGCTGGAGCTGGCCCCATGGTAACCCCCAGCCTCTTCTTCCTCCCTGTCCCCCAGGAATTCCTCCCTGAGGGCAGCCAGAGCCACCTGGGGCGCCTGCTTCCCAAGCTGCAGGAGGTGAACCGCTGCCTGCGTGACCTCCTTTCCACCGCCGGCAAGGTGAGAGCAGCAGATAAGCAGCATGTGGTTGTTTGCATGAGCTTGGGACCTATCCTGCTGCCCCCTTATGCTGGTGGCTAGGCTGACATCAGAGCTGCCCGAGTTCCCCCTGGCTCTGAGGAGTTGACTTGGCTCTGTGGGCAAGATAGGGGATGGGGTATGGCCAAGAGGACAGCACAGCTGGTTCCGAGCTGGGCTGGAGGATGCTCAAGGCATTTGGGGGACTAAAGGAGATCCCCAAAAAGGTGTAGCCCTTGTCAAGCCAATAAGGAAACCATCCTGAGGTGCTGAGTCAGCCCTCTCGGAGCTGGCTGTCCTGAGGGGTTCCTGGCAGGAACTGGGCACACTGACAGGAATGTTTCCCACCTCTGCCTGCCTTTCTGGAGACCTTGCGGTGGCCTTTGTTTGGATCTTAGTCCTGTGCTGGGCTTCTCTCAGTTCCCTGTGTGCCACAGAAACAGCTTCTGGCCTTGCAGAAAGGCTGGGGAGGGCCACCAGGAAGGAGGCTCAGTGTCTCATCTCTGCTCTTCGTCTTCTTTGCAGCCAGCGAACCCCTCCTCAGCCCTGAGCAGGCTGGTCCCTGTGGCATCCCCAGCCTCAGCAGGCTCCCAGCAAGCCATCAACATGCTGAAGGAGCAAAACCGGCTTCTCACCAAGGTGAGTGGGGATATGGAGGGAGGAGATCCACGTGGGAGTGGGCTGGGAGAGGACATGGGATGGGATTGGGCTGGGGAAGGAATACGAGGCAGTAGAAAGTGTTCCTTCAGCTTGGCCAGCCTTGGTCATCCCAGCATGTGGGCTGCACCTAGACACCCCCTGTCATGCAGCTGTGTCCAGCTGATAGCTGGGTGAGGGTCTGTGGGCAGGGATGGGACATCCCTGTGAGAGGGACAGTGCAGGTCGTGAGAGGATGCAGACGCTGCGGCTGGGGTCTGGGAGCAGAGCTGCTGGGGAAGGGGCACCCATGATGCCCCTGCCAGGGCTGGGCTCACCACTGGGGTTCGCATCCCAGCATCCAATGCTGGCATTTTCCTCATCTGAGCAGCATTTTCCTCCTCTGTCCTGTGCAGGAGGTGACTGACAAGAGCGAACGCATCACCCAGTTGGAGCAGGAGAAATCTGCCCTGATCAAGCAGCTCTTTGAGGCTCGTGCCCGCAATAACCATGAAACGAGCCAGCTGGACTCCACCTTCATCTAGCACCCATCTGCTCGTGCCCTGTCCTCGAGCATCCCCAGGGGTTTTGTGGGACTCTTGCCCAGAACCCATTGCACCCATTGCTCCAGGTGTCATATCTCGAGGTCTGGAGCTGCTGGTGGCATCTTTGTAGGAGGAAGCCCGGAAGGCATTTCCCCGACCCCTCCTGGGGAGCATCCCCACACTGCTCTGCTGCTGGGCTTTCCAGCTGTGCTGCTTTCAAGCTGCTCCTTTTCTGTCTCTAAAGGGACTGCAGGGGCTGTACCCCCAGCCCCATGATCCCCAACGTGCTGGGGGAGACGGCTGCTGCCCATGCTGCCTGTGCAGGGGGCAGCTGCTGTGCCTTTGGCCTGGCTTAGGCTGAATTTTGGCTGCTCTCAGAAAAAGATGACGCATCTTTAACACTCCAGCTGGCATCTCCAGGCAAGCCTGGCCATTGCAGGGTGGCTTATCCCACTGTCAGAGGACAAGATTGTAAAATCCAATGGGGCATGCCTGGCTGCTTTCTGCTGCCTGAGTTCTGCCTGCCAGTGACACTATACTGGGCCAGAGCAGTACCCGAGCTGGTGCTCCTCCTGGGCTAATCCCTCCTTCCAGGTTGTGGTAGTGATGCCATACTTGCTGTTTACACATCTGCAGTGTCCTGTAGTTAATGAGCCATAGACCCAAACGAGGTAGCCTGTACGTCTGAGCTGCTGTTTCAGGCTGTTTGCAGGTTGAGGCAGACACATCTACATCCCTCTCTTTCGCATGACCTGGCAAATGCTTCCTTATCACTGCCAGGCTTATATTTTTTCGTGATGGAGAGGTGATGTCCTGCGTGAGGATGCTAACACAAGCCTGACTTCACAGAGTGGCTTTAGGACACAGTTTTGTTTTTGACTGAACATGGGTGATGGAGCAGACACTGATGGGCTCTTTCCTTTGCACATCTCCAAGTGGAGAAACAGCAGCTTTGCCTGTCCTGGTGGTGGATGTTGGCTCCCTGGGGTGACATCCCGAGTGTGAATTGCACTCCTCCCCGGGTCTCTTGGGGTGGTGGTCTAAGAGTGGGTCCTGTTAGTCTGATGCTTCTCAGAATACCTCCTCCTTCCCACCCAGCTCAGTGATGATGCTTGAGCTGAACGATGTCTTCCACTGTGGCTTGGTACTTGGTATTTATGGTGCTTTCATAGGAGGTCCTTGTGAATCCCCATGTAGCACAGGCCTGGCACTCTGTAGCTCCAAGACCAGGACCTTTCTCTGCAGGGTTGTTTCATGCTCTGACTCTCCTGGCACGACACTGTGGAACAATGCACTGAGCTGGGCAGAAGGTGCTGGACCTACCCTGCCCTGGACTGTGCACTGTGCAGACCAATTCCTTTCTCACTCCTGTTTTTGTCTGTCCAGTGCTGTCTGTCCTGTCCAACTCCTGTCTTTGAGGTTGATCTTGACCTGAAGCTCACTGTAAGGCATGAATCTCTGCTCTACCCTTGTGCCTGCTGCCCTGTGCCAGAGTGGGGATCAGCAGAATGCCAGGGAGAGGGAGGAGGAAGAGGAGCAAGGCCATGGCTAGACGTGTCCCCTGTCTGCAGGAGTAGGGTGTTAGTTTGTCCCCTGGGCATCGGTATCTGCCATCTCTTTCATGATGCGACCTCTGGTGTCCAGTCCTGTTTTGCCTGAGGTTTAATTAAAAGTGACCCTCTTTATAAGGAGAGTCACCTGTCTGTAGGGATAATGAAGTGGGGTGAACTATTTAAGTTATCCTTCTGTGTCTACTGCTTTGAGCCGTGAAATTCCAGACTGTCCTGTCCCAGGGGACGTGGGGTGAGCTGAGGGTGCACAATCGCTGCTTGAGCACGAGGAGTCCAGGGGGTCTCTCTGCTCCAGGCCGTGTTCCCATGCCCTTTCCCATCCCCTCTGAGCTTCCCTGTGCTCTGGGGCTGGGGACCCCCAGTTTCTCCTCACTGCTGTGTCATGAAGCCACCTACACCCCTTCCAGTGCTTGTAGCATCATCTGGCTGCTCCTCCAGAAGCTACGCTGGGGGCTCGTACTCCTCAGGTGGTGTGGGTGTAATTCACAACCTCTTACTTCTTTTTAAGCCCCCTCCCTTGGAGCTGGCTGCCGTGGCTGTGGTGCTCTCAGGGATGGCCAGAGGGGACCTCACTGGCACAGGGTACTGTGGCAGGTATCTCTATGCCCTGCACCGAGGGTGGCAGCACCTGCTCGGGGCAAACCTGGGGCTCTGCACTGGCCAAGGGCACCTTCCTTTGCCCTGCGGCACAGCCGGGCTGTGGGGCGAGCTGGGACTCCCTGCACCCTGCAGAACCCTCCGGGGCTGAGCTGCCTCTGCTGGGAGTGGAGCCAGGAGGGGAACTCAAGCCAAGTCCCCTGCAGTTGGGAGAGGGATCTTTGCTGTGGCCCCTTTCAAGTGGTGCTTAGGGCAGCCACGAGTCCCAGACAGGGCAAGGAGAGGGAGGATAATTGCCCTCAGTTCCCATTTCATGCCTCTGCTTGGACGCAGAGCCCGTGAGGGCTTTCAAAGGAAAGAGAGGATTTTTGTCCCCGCTCAATGCTGCTCTGTGCAGAGCCAGGACAGCTCTCCCATGCCCCGCAGCCACCACTGCCCCAGCCCAGGGGAACATCCTGGCCATGGCCTGGCAGCGCTGGCCCCAGGCCCAATTCCCGCGGGAGTGCTGGTGTGGTGGTGGGGGAGCTGCAGAAGGGCGATGGGCCTGCTGCGACCGGTGTCCCCCTGGGAGCTGCAGCGCTTGCCTCGAGCTGCCATGCTGCTTCTGGGTCACTGACCATCACCTGTGTGTCTGGGCTGGGTCCACTTCAGCACCCTTAACTGTGGGGGCTGGCACTGCTCCAGTGGTGCTCCGGGAACCACGAGACCTGGACTTGTGGCCAGGTCTGTAAGCGATGCGCTGGGTCATATGGGTGAACATTTTCCCTTCTCTTCAGGCTCTGTTCCCAATAGAGCTGGTTTTCCACAGATCTGTGAACGTGCTTCCGGGCTCTGATCGCATCTGGAAACTGCTTCATGAAGCTGTGGTCCACACCAGGAACAGCTGGAGCAGGTCCCTGCTGTCCCCAGCCAGGGCAGCCCCTGCTGACCTGCCTCAACTTGGCCCCTCCATGCTTGACTGTCAAACTCAGGTGCAACACCACATAGAAATTAGAATAGAATAAAATAGAATAATAGCTTGGGTTGGAAGGCACCTTTAAAAGCCACCTAGTCCAACCCCCCTGCAATAAGCAGGGACATCTTCAACTAGACCAGGTTGCTCAGAGCCCCATCCAACCTGGCCTTGAATGTTTGCAGAGATGAGGCATCTCCCACCTCTCTCAGCATCCTGGGCCAGGGTTTCACCACCCTCAGCGTAAAAAAATTTATTCCTTATGTCTAGTCTAAGTCTACCCTCTTTTAGTTTAAAGCCATTACCCTTTGTCCTATCACAACAGGCCCTGCTAAAAAGTTTGTCCCATCTTTACTGGAGCCCCTTTAGGGACTGGAAGGGGCTCGAAGGTCTCCCCAGAGCCTTTTCTTCTCCAGGCTGAACAACCCTAACTCTTTCAGCCTGTCCTCACAGCAGAGGGGCTCCAGCGCACGGATCATCTTTGTGGCCTTCTCTGGACCTGCTCCAACAGGTCAGTGTCCTTCTTATGTCAGGGACCCCCCGAGCTGGAGACAGCACTGCAGGGGGGTCTCCCCAGTGGGGAGCAGAGGGGCAGAATCCCCTTCCTCACCCTGCTGGCCACGCTGCTGAGGTTGCAGCCCAGGATGCGGTTGGCTTTCTGAGCTGCGACCACACATTGCTGGCTCATGTCCATGGGAGTCCTTCTCAGCACGGCTGCTCTCCATCCGTTCATCCCTCAGCCTGTATTGATACTGAGGGTTGATACCATAGTCAACACTCACATCACTGGGCATTTATCACAGGCACCAGGGTGAGACTGCATGGGTGGTCCCCACTGCCGGAGCCTGGAGATTGGGGGCTGTTATCAGAAGGGTGTGCTTGGATCTTGCCTGGGCTCAACCCAGAGATGTGCCTGGCCCCCGAGCTGCCCCGGGGGATGCAGGATCTCATCCTCTGTGTCCTCAGTCATGCGGTTTGGGAAGGATCCAGTCACCCAGGTCTATTTGTAGTTTCTCTCTCTTCTCCTGCCCAGCTCCATGCTCTTCTCACGCCCTTGGAGGCTGGGCTGCGTGCCCAGCTAATCCCCTTAGAGAAGAGCTGCTCTCCCAGCAGAGCAATTATCCCAAATGCCAGCAGGAACAGCTGCATCTTGGGCCTGCAGCCCATATATTTTGTGCTTTTTGCTTTTCTTCCCTGACACATGGTCAGAAACTGCTCTGCCCATCGTGGGTCCTTGCTGCCCTGGGCAGTTTGCAGCAACTCCAGCACCCTGCATGCTGTCAGCCCATGTGTGCTGTGCCCACTGTCCTGCTCTTGCCATTGCAATCCCTGGGACATGAATCGAGAATGTGATGACCTGGAGAAGCCCCCGGGTCCTGGGGCTGGTCCTCACCGCGACAGGGAGCTGGGCTGTGCAGGGCTGTCTTGGCTAAGGGGGTGCCTGGCGTGTCTCAGACCTGCAAACTGGCACCCGGTACCTCTTGCTCATCCCCTTGGTCCCTCGTTGCGGGTGTTCTCCTGCACCAGACCATCCCTGTGCATTGTTGCCACAGCCCTGCCTGTATGCCAGGCTCCAGCTCTCCAGAACTTTTCTTCTCTTGGCAGAGATAAAACTGCCTCCTGCCTTAGCAGCATTACCTGGCGTGTGCTCGGTGCTCCCCATTCCTCCTTCCTGGATGCTACCATCAGATAATTTTGTTTTCCACTGGCACTTAGAATCGCTAAGGTTGGAAGGGACCTTAAGGGATCATCAAGTCCAACCATCAATCTACCCTGACAACCACCTCTAAACCGTGTCCCTAAGAACCACATCTACCCTTTTTTTAAACACCTCCAGGGATGGTGAATCCACAACCTCCCTGGGCAGCCTATTCCAATGT